GGCTGCTCAGCTAAAATGATCGCAAATGCTTTAAAATGGCAACCAAAACCTGAAAAACGTGGAAGAGAGCGAAAAACTACCATTCAAATGGATAGAATAGCCAAAATGGCAAGGACTCAGCCAACAATCAGCTCCAGGAAGATCAAAGAAGGTCTAAAGTTACCTGTGAGTACTGTTACAATTAGAAGACGCCTATGTGAAGCCAAGCTATCTGCAAGAAGCCCCCGCAAAGTCCTACTGTTGAAAAAAAGACGTGCTGAAGAGGTTACAATTTGCCAAAGAGCGCATTGACTGGCCTAAAGAGAAATGGCACAACATTTTGTGGACTGATGAAAGTAAGATTGTTCTTTTTGGGTCTAGTGGCCGGAGACAGTTTGTCAGACACCCCCAAACACTGAATTCAAGCCACAGTACACTGTGAAGACAGTGAAGCATGGTTGTGCAAGCATCATGATATGGGGATGTTTCTCATACTACGGTGTTGGGCCTATTTATCGCATACCAGGGATCATGGATCAGTTTGAATACATCAGAATACTTGAAGAGGTCATGCTGCCTTATGCTGAAGAGGAAATGCCCTTGAAATGGGTGTTCCAACAAGACAACGACCCCAAACACACCAGTAAATGTGCAACATCTTTGTTCCAGACCAACAAGATTGACGTTATGGAGTGGCCAGCCCGATCCCCGGATCTTAATCCAATAGAAAACTTGTGGGGACATCAAAAATGCAGTTTCTGAGGCAAAACCAAGAAATAGAGAAGAATTGTGGAATGTAGTCCAGTCATCCTGGGCTGGAATACCTGTTCGCAGGTGCCAGAAGTTGGTTGACTCCATGCAACACAGATGTACAGCAGTTCTCAGAAACAGTGCTTATACAACTAAATATTAATTAAGTGATTCAAAGAAAAGCAAAATCTTCAAACATTTTTCAGTTAATATAGTGAACGTTTGAGTTTGTAAAGAAGAATACAAACACTGCTATTTTTGAACAGTCTAATATTCACTTTTCTTCAATTTTTTTAGAGGAACAACACAAATTTGATATATTTTTCTTCATGTTTTGATTTGGAATAGAATGTGTAGTGTTCCCAATGCATTTGTGTGTATGGAAATAAAAGCTATTAGAAGGATTTTAAGCTTTATCCACTTTTTTCAACACACTGCTATTATTTTGAACACAACTGTATGTACATAGTTACAATGATCCAAGCTGGACTAATGTAAATATGTAACAACATGTTTACTAGACTCGTGTTCAGACAGATTTCAGTGAGTTATTCCTAAAAATTACAGGCCTACAATAAAAAAAATTACATATTTCCATGCAAAAAAATATACTGCTTTGAGCACAGAAATACTGACACAATCAGACCGCTAGGGAGGCTACTCTATGGGGATGCAGTGGCTGCATGAACACAGCCGCAGGTCCTAATTTCACAGGTGTACAGGAGTGGCCCCAAATACTGTCGGTGGCTGTATATTTACAGCTGCTGCATCCCCATAGTGTGACATAGGCTGCCTGCACACATCTCCAGGCAACTCCAGTCACATAAACTGCTGATTGACACTGTACAGGCCACAGTGCCCATGTGAATGAACTCCAAAGATCTAATTTACACAAAGAGCTTTATTTATTTATTTATTTTACCAGGAAAGACAAGTCCATTCATAGAAAGAGTCAGGTAGGCCGTACAAGGCCCTATTATTTCTAACAGCAGCCATGATGTCAAATCAATGGAGCCCACTGTCTCCAGCTTGATGGAGGTGTTGTCTATGAGAACAGTGGTTTGGATCTTCAGCAAGCTGCCAACACAGACCATATTGCTGTAATAAATAATATTTAATAGTAATAATAAATGATCCTGAATCATTATTGAACAAATATGGCTTTATCCTTCTGAAGAGAAAAACAGAAGAAAGCCTTTTCAGCATAACTGCCATCGTTGTGAAAGGTGACAACTGTCAGTGTAAACATTTACATGGCTTGGCAAACTTACTGTAGCGTTACCCCAAAGGAGCCGCTTGGTAATTTGGGTTCTCTGTTCTGCGCCTCGACTCCAAGAACACCTTGAGCTCTTCTAGCACACCTGGTTGAATGAAAGTTACTGCAAGCACTTTTAACAACATAAGAATAGATACCTTCAATTCGGCTGCAATTAGCACCAGGAAAAAGACAACAAGATTGTTTAATGGTGTCACAGTCCCCTTCTCTGCTTACCACTATCCCCAGCTTACCCCCACTCAGGTGCCACCAATGGACTGCCCCCTGCTGAGGATGTTTCCTGTCCCTCCAGACGAGCGCCAGGCAGCCGGCCTCACCACTGTGCCTGCATATGAATTCACCACACGCAGGCTGCCCTCTGTCGCCACGTGCCCTCTTTCCCCTCTCTCTTTGGGTACAGCTTGATCCCACTGTTCCCACACTCTGTGCCCACAGAGACAAAGGCACACTCCCTGTGTGGGGCCGGCATGGACAGGGCAGGACCTGCTGTGAGTGTATCCTGACGCCAAGTCCTGGGTTATCTGAGCAATGAGAATGCGCCCCACTCCGGAGATAAATGCCAGAGTGGGGCCCGGGCACAGTGTGGTTCCCCCTGCTCACTCTCCCCTTGCTCTGCTGCCATGCTATGAGAGGCTGTGTGCTGTGGAGTGACCCTTCAGCCCCCTACCAGGACTTGTGGACTGCAGAAGATCCCTGCCTGGCCTGCTTCTATTACCGCTCCCCTAGTTCTCTCCGCCCCAGGCTCTCCACTGTTGGTTGGCGAGTTACTTAACCCCCCACACTGCCAGAGTTTTGCCATCCTGCTCTGTGCTGTGCCCTGTGCTGGATTTAACCCACTCTGCCAGATCTTTGCCCTGTGTGCTGGACTTACCCTGTGTGCCTGGACCTTTGCCTTGTATGCTGGACTTGCCCTTACTTCCCGGATCTTTGCCCTTACTTCCCGGATTTTTTCCGTGTGCTGGACTCACCCTTCCTGTCCAGATCTTTACCCTGTGTGCTGGATTACCCCTTCCTGCCTGGATCTTTGCCCTGTGTGCTGGACTTACCTTGCGTGCCCGGATCTGTGCCCTGTGCTGGACTTAGCCCCCGTCTGCTCAGATTTGTCCCCGTGTGCTGGATTTACTCCTTTCCTACTCAGACCTTTTCCCTGTGTGCTGGATTAACCCTTTCCTACCTGTATCTTTGCGCTGAGTGCTGGACTAACCCGTGCTGTGCCTTAATCTTATCTGCTCGGATCCCCTGTCCTGTATATTGGTTCCACCTCATTGCTGGGCCACCCTACATGGACTGTGTGGTGTTAGCTTGCTAACAGGTGGACTATCTTGTTGTACTGTGTCTTACCTACACCTATTGTGCCCTCATGTTTCTCAATAAATGCCCACACATCGAATTTTGTGTGATCTGCCTCTCTCTGAATCCCCAGTTCTCTACAAATGGTAAATGAAGTCAATGTAATTAGTGCAGTTTAGGACAGGGCTTGAAAAAGCCGCTCGCCCGCTCGCCAAATGCGAGGAGAAATTCCTGTGTGGCGAGCACAGGTGATGGATGAAGCAGCTGCACCTGTGCTCCAAGCCTCATTGTGAAGCCGAGTTCCAGTTTCCAACTTCCGGTTTCCGGCTTCTTTGGCACCGCCATTGGTGTCAGTGGGAGGAATAGTGTCCCATCATTGTGTCAGTGGGAGGAATAGTGCCCCATCATTGGTGTCAGTGGGAGGAATACTGTCCCAGCATTGGTGTCAGTGGGAGGAATACTGTCCCATCATTGGTGTCAGTGGGAGGAATAGTGCCCCATCATTAGTGTCAGTGTGTGAGGAATAGTGCCCCATTATTGTCAGTGGGAGCAATAGTTTCCCATCACTGGTGTCAGTGGGAGGAATAGTGCTCCATCATTGGTGTCAGTGGGAGGAATAGTGTCCCATCATTTGTGTCAGTGGGAGGAATAGTGCCCCATCATTGGTGTCAGTGGAAGGAATAGTGTCCCATCATTGGTATCAGTGGGAGGAATAGTGTCCCATCGTTTGTGTCAGTGGGAGGAATAGTGTCCCATCATTGTGTCAGTGGGAGGAATAGTGCCCCATCATTGGTGTCAGTGGGAGGAATAGTGTCCCATCATTTGTGTCAGTGGGAGGAATAGTGTCCCATCATTTGTGTCAGTGGGAGGAATAGTGCCCCATCATTGGTGTCAGTGGGAGGAATAGTGCCCCATCATTGGTGTCAGTGGGAGGAATACTGTCCCATCATTGGTGTCCCACACTGACACTAAAGATGGGGCACTATTACTGACCCCTGCTCCAGCCCGGGCTCCCTCCCTCTCCCATGCACAGCCAGCATACCTGGCTGCAGCAGCACCATCTGCTCTGCCCAGATCCCGGCCGCACGGGCCCAGCAAAGACACTTACCTTACCCACCAACTGTCATCCTTCTCCAGCCGCTTTCCTTCTCTTCACTGGTTACAGCCGGTCCTTCACTCCGATCAGCTTCTTCGATTTTCGCGCTGGCTCTCAGCTCCTCCTCTCTGCCTGTGTGCTTTCCCTGAGCTACAGATCCGGCGGCCAATCACCGGCGAGGAGGCGGAGCTTGGAGGAGGGTAAGGTTGCCATAGGCTGCCCAGTAATCCTGGGGGTTTGGCCAGATGTCATCCCGCCCATATCGCGATCCAAGATCCAGGGAAATGAAGACACCGAACCGGGCAACCTCTCTAACCCTCCTCCAGCAGCGCTTCGTGGACCGTGTTGAATTGGGACACGGAGTACCGGACACAGGTAAGACACAGCAGCCCCTGTCCTGAGTGTCCCTTCCGTGGGAAAGGGGGGGGGCAGCGCAGCACCCCTGAAACTTGCCGCCCTAGGCAAATGCCTTGTTTGCCTCATGGCAAATACGCCCATGGTTCAGTGTGCTCGGCATACAGAGTGCAGGGTTCAGGTGTGCCCTAAGTACAACGTGCAGGGTTCAGGTGTGCCCTAAGTACAACGTGCAGGGTTCAGAGTGCTCTGAATACAGCATGCAGGGTTCAGAGGTGCACTGTGTACAGCATGCAGGGTTCAGGTGTGTGTTACATACAGAGGGCAGGGTTCAGGAATGTGCTGAGTACAAATTTCAGGGATGCTCTGCTTACAGAGTGCAGGGTTCAGGGGTGCGCTGCGTACAGGGGGCAGGGTTCAGGGTGCGCTGCATACAGAGGGCAGGGTTCAGGGGTGCGCTGCATACAGAGGGCAGGGTTCAGGGGTGCACTGCGTACAGGGGGCAGGGTTCAGGGGTGCGCTACATACAAAGTGCAGGGTTCAGGGGTGCGCTACATAAAGAGTGCAGAGTTCAAGTGTGCACTATGTACAGAAGGCACTGTTCAGGGTTGCGCTGCATACAGAGTGCAGGGTTCAGGGTTGTGCTGTGTACAGAGTGCAGGGTTCAGGGTTGTGCTGTGTACAGAGTGCAGGGGATCACTGCATACAGAGTTCAGGGTCGCGCTGCGTACAGAGTGCTGGGTTCAGGGTCGCGCTGCGTACAGAGTGCTGGGTTCAGGGTCGCGCTGCGTACAGAGTGCAGGGTTCAGGGTCGCGCTGCGTACAGAGTGCAGGGTTCAGGGGTGCACTGTGTACAGAGTGCAGGGTTCAGGGGTGCGCTGCGTACAGGGTGCAGAGTTCAGGAGTGCGCTGCACACAGAGTGCAGGCTTCAGGGGTGCGCTGCTTGCAGAGTACAGGGGTGCCCTCTTTTCCCCCAGATCGCCCTATTCTCCAGTACAGTACTCTACTCCCACCCCCAAATCCCACTCCTTGACAGTACCTGATAGAGAACTGTGACTGCAGAAGAGCGGGGTAGGTTACTCAGGCAGAGCGTGTAGCATAGCAGCAGGGCATGTGGGGCCATGGGCAAAGGCTTTAGGAGCTGCTGCTGCCAGACATGCACTGGGTTCCAACTACCTATCTATGCAGAGAGGCTGCAGGCGGAGCACAGCTGGGATCACTCCACAAGCGGAACTAGAGGAGCAGCAAACTGGCCGCCGTCTCCTTCCACCGCCGGCCCGATTCTATTTAAAAATAATCCCAACTGGCTCCAAACTCGGCCTGGATAAGAGGCTGCTGGGGCTGCATCAAGCTGTCCCATGGTTCTTTCTTACACTTGCTGGGCCAGCACTAACCTGTCTCAAAAACAATATTTACTGACATAAAACTTCTCTAACGCACATTTACTGACAGCTGTAAAAAAATCACTTATTTTTACAAACTGTCAGCAAATTTACTGATGGTTGGCAATGCTGGGGAGGAGGAATGGTGTACACAGTGTAATGATGATATACAGGATACACACAGGGGTTGATGTACTAACACAGGAGAGTGAAAATCTGGTGCCACTGTGCATGGCAGCCAATCAGCTTCTAGTTCCAGCTTGTCCAATTAAGCTTTGACTATAAAACCTGGAAGCTGATTGGTTTCCATGCAGAACTGCACCAGATTTTGTACTCTCCAGTTTTAGAAAAGTAAACCCCAATGAATACAGAGTGATGTCCGGGCTGTATACACAGTGTGATGATAGTGTCTGGGCTGTATACACAGTGTGATGATAGTGTCCGGGCTGTATACACAGTGTGATGATACTGTCCGGGCTGTATACACAGTGTGATGATACTGTCCGGGCTGTACACAGTGTGATGATAGTGTCCGGGCTGTATACACAGTGTGATGATAGTGTCCGGGCTGTATACAGTGTGATGATAGTGTCCGGGCTGTATACAGTGTGATGATAGTGTCCGGCTGTATACAGTGTGATGATAGTGTCCGGGCTGTATACACAGTGTGATGATAGTGTCCGGGCTGTATACACAGTGTGATGATAGTGTCCGGGCTGTATACACAGTGTGATGATAGTGTCCGGGCTGTATACAGTGTGATGATAGTGTCCGGGCTGTAGTGATGATAGTGTCCGGGCTGTATACATAGTGTGATGATAGTGTCGGGGCTGTATACACAGTGTGATGATAGTGTCCAGGCTGTATACACAGTGTGATGATAGTGTCCGGGCTGTATACAGTGTGATGATAGTGTCCGGGCTGTATACAGTGTGATGATAGTGTCCGGGCTGTATACAGTGTGATGATAGTGTCCAGGCTGTATACACAGTGTGATGATAGTGTCCAGGCTGTATACACAGTGTGATGATAGTGTCCGGGCTGTATACAGTGTGATGATAGTGTCCAGGGCTGTATACACAGTGTGATGATACCGTCCGGGCTGTATACACAGTGTGATGACACGGTCCGGGCTGTATACACAGTGTGATAATAGTGTCCGGGCTGTATACAGTGTGATGATAGTGCCCGGGCTGTATACACAGTGTGATGATAGTGTCCGGGCTGTATACACAGTGTGATGATACCGTCCGGGCTGTATACACAGTGTGATGATGGTGTCCGGGCTGTATACACAGTGTGATGATAGTGTCCGGGCTGTATACACAGTGTGATGATAGTGTCCGGGCTGTATACAGTGTGATGATAGTGTCCAGGCTGTATACAGTGTGATGATAGTGTCCAGGCTGTATACACAGTGTGATGACCACACAGGTGATGATAGTGTCCGGGCTGTATACAGTGTGATGAGCAGGCTGACAGTGTGTGATCCGGGCTGTATACACAGTGTGATGATAGGTGTCCAGGCTGTATACACAGTGTGAGCCGGGCTGTACAGTGTGTGTCCGGGCTGTATACACAGTGTGATGACACCGTCCGGGCTGACACAGGTGATGACACGGTCGGGCTGTATACACAGTGTGATGATACCGTCCGGGCTGTATACACAGTGTGTACCGTCCGGCTGTATACACAGTGTGATGCCGTCCGGGCTGTATACACAGTGTGATGATACCGTCCGGGCTGTATACACAGTGTGATGATACCGTCCGGGCTGTATACACAGAGCGGTGACGGTGTCCGGGCTGTATACACAGTGTGATGATGGTGTCTGGGCTGTATACACAGAGCGGTGACGGTGTCCGGGCTGTATACACAGTGTGATGATAGTGTCCGGGCTGTACACACAGCGGTGACGGTGTCCGGGCTGTATACACAGAGCGGTGACGGTGTCCGGGCTGTATACACAGTGTGATGATAGTGTCCGGGCTGTATACACACAGCGGTGACGGTGTCCGGGCTGTATACACAGAGCGGTGACGGTGTCCGGCCTGTATACACAGAGCGTGACGGTGTCCAGGACACACAACGTGCAATGAGGAGGAGTAAACAAGTGTGGAGGAAGTGACGCATCCTATGAGAGGGGGGAGGCGTGGTCGGACTTGTAGTGGTGGCGGGACTCTGACACATGTTGTTCTCTGTACACAGCGGGTTTTGTAGCCGGGGAGCGGAGTACAGGGGGTCACTGGTGCGGTAAGTAGTTGGGGCGGGGTGAATGCTGTGTGTAGGAAGGAGGCCGTACTCCGTGACCGGTATGGAGGAGGTCGGGCGTATGTCCTGTATATACACACATCACTGGTAACACTGGCCGGGCTGACATGACCCGGGAGGGGGCGGCGGATATTAGGTAGTATGAGGTTTGTGGAATCCAGAGATCACTAGAGGTTCCCGTAGAAATGAGCCGTGTCTACTTCTCAGGCAACTTAGCAAAGAAACCAATGGTCTATGGCTGGCTTTACTGTTTGTAAGTGAAGGCATGTGGAGCGATTACCTGCAGTTAGGGGCGGATGTTGGCTCTGGATACAAACCGTTCATGTCCAGGGTTACATAACTGGTCATGCCCACCGCAGAAATATGCTGATTTGGCTGATGCAGCAGTTTGTATGAGCCCTTACCAGCATCTAGTTTGATTGAATTATGGAGCATGTGTGTGAAGCAGTGAATGTAACATTTGCCAACCATTCACTACACATGAATCTTCCTGGTGCATGTTTTAGATGTAGTGAATGTCACATTTATCTGTCTTTAGAGAGCGGAGTATTTCTCTGATTAATAGACCACATATACTGGCAGCAGTAACATTATTTTCTAGGTCTTTTTTGCCTCATATATAAACTTTTTGTTTTTGCAGAGATTATGTGGAAGTGAGCCATGACCTCATTAGAACAATTTCCATATCCAGAGAAAAGCGGAAGGAACTGGAGAAATGGTTACTCTGCCGAGAACCCCAGTTATCAACATTGCTGGCGATATTTGGAGAGGTGATTGTTTGTTTTCTGTGCTTTCTTTTCTTTCAAGTTATCGTATTGATCACATCTAATAACTAGATGGTAATTTACGCAAAAGTATCTGTAACTCGTAGCAACCTATAACCTTTATGCTTCCATTCATTGCATCAGAAACATTACTACTGAGATGAAATTGTGTGATGATATGACAGTACTAAACCATTTGACACTTCCTTTTGTGTCAATTCAACTTTTAGGGCCCATTTTAGACCATCTTGTTGCAGTAATGCTCTTCTTACTGTGTGTGGCAAAACTCATTAAATTCATTGGTGCAATGCTATTGATTCTGAATGGCACCACAACACACCTTGCAACAGATGTGTGTTGCAGCGCTTTTTTCTTTGGCAGTGCAATGCATGTCTGTGGGCAAGTCATATTGAAGTGCAATTCAAATGAATGGTCCCCCATCGCACCTGCACATGTAATGGGATTTGCTGCATCTGGAAAAATTGGAAAGAGCTTGTCTCTTTATTCATGTGTTTACAGATGACCTACTTTATCTGCTTGATGCCAGATCACATACATGTACGTGATTGGCTTCAAGGGGTTATACCAAGCTTATGGCAGCAGCTGCATGCCATAACCCCGGTATCTTTCAGCTGGCCATGCTTTTTCTTCTAAACAGCAAGCTTGCTTTTATGTGCCACCCACCGGCGCTTCTCTGGGTTCTCACATGTGATTGGGAAGCCTGGTACCCTCTTGGGTTGGTTTCTCAACTTTTTTTTTTTTTTTTTCCCTGTTAAGGCACCATTTACATTTTAGAATAGGGTGCTTAATTTTAAAGAACCTAACTAATAGTTTTACATATCGTGGCATTGTCCATGGATGTAGTACACCCAATATTGGAGGTGATTTATTTTTACAAAGCAAATATACTTTTTCACACTGGTACTGACTTGTGTTCCAGCATTTGTCTTGCTCATTCATCTAATACCTCATTACTGATGGAGAGGGGCAAACTAGGACATCCCCAGGTGCCAAATATTTTCCTTATTAACTTATGACATCCTTGGTTGTTAGAATGCTAGTAGCTGGCCTGCACGGTGCCCAAGGTTGTGATGTTGCACAATTAAACCTGTGGTTTTGTGTAATCAAAAAGGCACACTTGATCCACCTGCTGACTAGGCAATTTTTAGGAATATTGCTAAGGCACCCCTGAGGAACCCATAAGGTGCCCCAGGGTGCCACAGCACCCTGGTTGAAAAAGGCTGGTCTAGGAGACAGGAAGTGATGTCATGATGTCACTTC